CTTAGGTTTCTGGAAATTTGAGAAGTTAATTGTCATGTGATATTTTATTTCATTTTATAAAGAGAAAAACAATATATATATTTTTAGTGTTCATGAACTGAGTCACCCACAGTTTTTTGTATTGCAGGAACTGTGCACTGATATTATTAATGTAATAATATTAATGATATTATTAATTGATGTGTGCTGAGCCCCCTCCTCTTCACTCTGCTGACCCATGACTGCACTCCATCATACAGCTCCAACCTCTTCATCAAGTTTGCGGACGACACAACGGTGGTGGGTCTCATTAGCAACAGGGATGAGACCGACTACAGAAGTGAGGTGAGACGCCTGGCCACGTGGTGTGCTGACAACAATCTCTCTCTGAATGTGGAGAAGACGAAGGAGATTGTTGTGGACTTCAGGAGAATGCACACCCAACATGCTCCTCTGACCATTGACGGAGCGTCTGTGGAGAGAGTGAGCAGCACCAAGTTCTTGGGTGTGCACATCACAGAGGATCTCTCCTGGACGTACAACACCACAGCACTGGCCAAGAAATCACAGCAGCGTCTCTTCTTTCTCCGCAAACTAAGAAGAGCAGGAGCACCAGCCCCCATCATGTACACTTTCTACAGAGGCACCATCGAGAGCATCCTGTCGAGCTGTATCACTGTGTGGTTTGGAGCCTGCAATGCGTCCTGTCATAGAACCCTCCAACGCATAGTGAGAGCTGCAGAGAGGATCATTGGTGTCTCTCTCCCCTCCCTCCAAGACATTTACAGCACCCGTCTCACTAAAAAAGCCCTTTGCATAGCGGCTGATACCACGCACCCAATGCAAAGCTTCTTCAAGCTGCTGCCGTCGGGGAGGAGACTGCGGAGTCTCCAGGCCAGGACCAGCAGACTGAAGGACAGCTTCATCCATCAGGCTGTCAGGAAGCTTAACTCCCTCCCGATTCTGCCCCCTCTCCCCTCTCTCCTCCACGGTCTCACTGAACTCTGTCACACACACACACACACACACACTCTGACTCACTCACTGGCCTGCACCAGTTACCAGTCACTTTGTGGAGCATTGGACTGCCATTACCTCATAAGACTTTGTTGTTACACTATCTCTTACCGTACAGTACTAAATCTCCATTTGCACTATTTGCCTATTTGCACTACTCTGCCTGGTTTACACCCAATGTCATTTACCCATTATATTGTATATTGTATAGTTTTCTTGTTATATGTAAAATTGTATTGTATTTATTTATTTAAAATTTTTACTTTTTAATTATTTTACCTGCATTTTTAATCACTCTTATATTTAAATGTTCTTTTGCTTTTTTATCTAGGGATTGAGAGTAACGTAGTTTCTATTCTCTGTATGTCCTGTACATGTGGCAGAATTGACAATAAAGTTGACTTTGACTTTGACTTTGACTTTGATTATCATTTTTATTATTACTGGACATCTCCTAGGTACTACATGACGACTGCAGATTTGTATGAGGCCATATTATTGTTCTTCTCTTACACCATGTGAATGTACTGGATATTTTTATGCATTGCTGTTCTATGTGTCTTAGTATGGACCATCTCTTTATTTCTCTTGTCGTTTCACAAACAACCTGCACTTTTTTATCTGGGGATACATGAAGATAAAATTGAATTACATTAACTGATTTTAATGCCGAGGCAAAATTATTACTTAAAGAAATGCAAATCTGTAATCACTGAAAATGATCTTCTTTTGCTCTTAACAGATGTTTTTAAAGGTTTATCATTTATCGATACTAGTTACTGTTGTTTCTATTGTTATAATCATTTTTGTTTTGTCTTTTTTTTTGTTACATTTTCTTTCATATTTTTTTATTGATATGTCATGACTTTAAAGTCTAACTATAGTCAAGATCTGCAAGTGAGCTGTGGCTAGAAGTCCTGTGTACAGTGCAGTGCTTGATGGTATATTATAGCAATCTTAATATATCCTCACTGAATACAATGAAAAACATGTTTTGACATTGTGGGTAAGCAAAGAAGGCTTAGACTACAAGCAGTAATCTGAACAGAACTAGAACTAGAACTAGATCTGTTCTGCTTTATTTAGCTTTAGATTTGAGATGATTTTCTGCACAAAGACAATGTAGATTGAGACAAGCTGCAATGTTTAATCCTGGTGCTTGCATCAATAAGCCATGCACACATTCACAACAGATAACATTAATACTTTCCTTGTAGTAGATCATAACACCATCCAAGAGACAGACGAAGAAATGCTACTGCAGAATCCAGCCATCAGTGAGTAAATGAGTTAATCATTTACCACAACTTTAATTAAAACGCCTCCAATGAGTTGTGAAGTTAACTGACAGACCAGAGAGGACAAGGGGGGAGCACATGTACACTAGGAGATCAAAACACAACCAACAACAAAAACTCAATTGAAAGACACCCTCAATCATGTCACGGTTCTTGGTAAAGTTTTCTTTAATCTTAAGGTTCAGTGGCAACAAGACTTTGTAGAAAGACTATTATCTTTGCAGTACACTGGCAAAAGTGTGAGCTATATTTCATATTGCATCCACAGCAACACACTGCTTGACTTTTAAATAAGAGGGCACACGTTGCGATATTGACTGAATAAATAAGCCAATGGATGTGATACAGTCCATACTTCACAATTATTGCAGCAGGGCTTAAACATTTTTTAAATAATTCTAAAAATTACAAGTTTTTTAAAGAGTCTGCTCATTAGGAAAGCAAAAACTGACTTTTTAATGAAGTCCCTGCCTAACTGATAGTATCTGATTAAGGATTAACTGCACTATGGGCCTTTTTTATATTATTATTATTTTTGCATCTGTAGCACTTCTCTCACACACATCAGCACTCGTAAGACCTGGTTAAGATTTCCAAGGATCAGAGTGCCCTCTTGGTAAGGTGGTCTCATGAATAAGGAGAATAAGACGCTTCTGATCTGAATCATTGATGAATTGAGGGGCTGATCTAAGCAACCATCCAGAGCTCATCCTCATCAGTCACTCTGCAGGAGCGTTTGGCCTTCTCTGCCCTCCATGTTGATCAAACGGTGACGCACACCCCTGTGCTTTACTGGAAACCCACATCCTTCCCGTCAGATGGGTCTAAACAAGGGGCGGGAGGTAAGAGGTCTGCAATTGTAAAGACAGATTAAACTTTGAATAACTCACTCCCTGACCAGTTGCCATGGCGACAAAGTCTTCATGTCTTTCATTTACGATCCTCCTCAGGCAAATAAGTCTAGCCTGAAGTAGTTTGTAACGTTAGCAAGATCGCTGCACAGCCAGATAGTGTTTGCTGCTTCGCCTGGGGCCAGATTTGTCTTGGCAATATGGAAAAACATCAGGGTGAGCTGGAAGCACAGTCCCACAAGTGCTGACTAATTGAGCAGTTTGTTTTTGCTCATAATACAATCTGCACTTCAGCTCTCAAATGTGAGACATTTAAAGCAGTGAGGGGACTTAATAAAAAGTGCTAAACAAATTCAGAAATCTCATTTGCTCTTTTATTTTGTCCATTTTAAACAGTTTATGACAGCAGAACCTTGCTTCACCGCTGTTATCTGATAGCTACATTTATTTTTAGAGATTCAAGCCTCGTGTTACAGCAGTCCTAAGTATTTTTAGTGGTTCAAAGACTAATCAGAATCCGACTCGTATGAGTAGCTATTAAACGAAATACAGCACTGTGTAAAGGTTTTGAGCCACTCCCTCATTTCTTCATATTTTGCTTCCAGTGAGCCAGATTTCATTTTTTTCCAGGTGTTAGAAGGTCTTTCAAAGTTATTCTTTGAACATTGGCTGCTTTTCCTTCATTTTTCACCTGATCCCACTTGTTAAGCCACTTAACACAGACCTTTGACTCGTCCGAGCATGAAAAAGGTACCTAACCAAAAAAATGAACAGAGATTGTTTCTTTACATAACAGACAGATTAGCAAGGAAGCTTTTTTTAAACTGTATCTTTAGGTTTGTCACAAAATCCCATAATTTGTTCCCATATCTTTAGGTTAATCTTTGATAAAGATCAAAGATAATACAATTTGACAAGCTTAAATCAGTAATTTTACACCAGCAAGGTGATTCCCAGAGAGCTGTTAATTAAAATTTTGCCATATTTCAGCATGCTGTGCAATATGTCTTCAAAAGAAATCAGGAAAACAGTATCTGAAGGAAAATAGGACAAAATCCAACAAAAACCTGATACAGGATCTGAGAGATGCATATGAAGTAGTTACAAATGTGTTACCTGGAACAGTAAATGACACTACTGACACTAACGATGTGATCATACTTTGATACAGTATATATATGTTTTCATCTCTTACAGTATTCTGTTGGTAGAGTTGCAGATAGTAGGACTTTTTCTAGTACAGACAGGAATTGAAAGCTTCTTTTGAAAAACCGCTGCGTTATACCCCTTATCGCTTTCACCCCGACCTCTGGAATCTGAAGCCCCCTGTGTCTCATTTAGAGGACGGGGAGGGAGTGCAGACATGATCTGAGGTGGCTGGATGACCTGTTTATTTTGTTAGCTGTGTGCGTTGATGTGAAGCTGGATGTCAGGATGTGTGCGTGTGTGTCTGTGTGAGAGAGTTTTGTGTCCTGACTTATCATTGGACCTTGACTATCAATCCAGATAATCTGTAGACACTGAAGTGAGGATTACTGAGGATTTGTTCTGAGAAAAGTGAGCCTTACTTGAAGTTGTATTGTCTTAGCCTTTCTGCAGTCACTACGATAGAGCAGACACTGTGTGCCGGTGCAAAGAAGCTACTTTTATCCATCTGTGCAATGAAAGCCAAAGAGACAAGTCCTTCAAGGCTCCTAAAGCTTGAACGGGCAGAGAAAGAGTTTTGTGTACCAAACTAAGTGAAGGGGGCGGGGGATGTTTAAAAAAAAAGACACAGGGGGTGTTTCTTGCCCCTCTCTCCCTTTTTTCTGTCCCTGTTGGTCTCCTTGGTCACACACATGCACACATACTCCTCGGAAACACACACACACAAACACACACACACAAAACCACTGACAAGGGCTCAGTCCTGCTATGGCCACCACTACCACAGAGGAAAGCTCTCCAGTCCCGACCACTGTAGCACCCCAGCAGCCTGACTTGGAAGACAGCCTAAAACCCAACTCAGAGGCAGAAGCTGAGCTGGGCGAGACCCAGTGTGACAGAGAGGAAAAAGAGGATGAGGAACATGAAGAAGTGGGAAGAAGCTGTGATTCGGAGCAGGAGAATACAAAAGGGAAGAGTTTGGACCCAGAGTGGGTGGAGGAGAGGTTCAGGATCGATAGGAAGAAGCTGGAGACCATGTTGTATGGTGAGTTAAATGGGATTATCAATTTTTATGGATGGAACTGTCAGTGCTATGTGCCTGAACTTCAGGGCTTTCTTATCGACTTCATTCTCACAGTCTGCCTTGAACTCTACAACATCTGAATTTTGTGTTATTTTGAAACCTATCCTATCCTGTGTTCCTCATTGACCTTGTTATCTACCTGATCCCACGCGCCTCTGGGGGCCTCCAGCCGCCTCCAGCCGCCTGTGCCCTTGTTGTCGTCATCAGTAAACGCCATCCACTAAACCCCTGTTGCTGCATCATTGTGATTTATGACCTGCAATTGCTTATGCATTCACAGGTCCTTTTGGCTATTATCATTCCCGTCTGTGAAGCAAAGGTAACTGCCTCTGTTAGTTATGGCTGCTTGGCGGGTTTATGACAAATGCCTCCCCTGTGTCGCCGGGGAAACTCTTTCTGACAGCGTGCCACCGCTGTAGACACAAGCTGATGTTTGCGCTTGATGGGAAAGTGCTTCAGCTCTGATAACCGCGGCTTGGTTTTTAATGCGCGCGCAGCTGGGACTTCTGCTTTTACTGCTGTTCGAGCAGCCTCAATCAGGCAGTAAACATCCCATCTCAACCCTATAGGTAATAATCTGTCACACCGCATTCAGGCCTTCACACTGATTTTCGTACATCCCCCTCCCTCCCCTTTGGTTTTGTACTTTAATTTTTTTTTTCTTTTTGTTTGGGTAAAGTGGGAGGTATTTGCGTCAGCAAATGCCATTGATGTGATTAGTTGTCTCCAGGCTAATTTGTGGCTGCCTTTCCTAACCACCACCTTTTGCTCCACCCCATAGTGTTTTCTTCTCATTCCTCAGCTCTGGCCAGCGTAACCCGTAGTGATAAAAGGAGGGGGTTGAAGGCGTTCCTGGGGCTCCCCCTGAACCCTGTAAATGTCACCATGGAGCAATGGCCTTTTAAACTTGTTTATGTTCCCAGCAACCTCTTGTTCCACTGGCTTGACAAATTTCAGCCAAGTCAACATTGAAATGCAGACTTTGTGTTCACATGCGTCATATTGAACATTGCGTGGCGACCAATACAACCTGACAAATCTCTCTGCTGCGTTTTATTAGGGGTTTATTTTATCTTTATCTGCCTCGTTTTTACATTTGCCTACTTCTTCTTTCAGCTCCAAAGCATGAGGTTGTCGAGACGGGAGAGGAGTTTTTTGAGAGAGTAAGTGGCTCTACACACATTCAAACACTTTATTCATAAACCAAACAACTAATAATATTTGGCCATTTTCCTTTGTAAAAACCACTGACAGTGTAATCACTAGTGTTTTAAAGCCTCGTGGTGAAATTTATCTTAGACCAGTGAAAACATCCCTGCTGCAGTTTTATTACTTGTTAGATGCTCTTCATTCAGTGATTACAGATTTTATGGTGGTGATAATTGGAGGTGGAGGCAGCTTTGTATCCTAAGATCTGCTGTGTTCTCTGAATGTGTGTGTTCTCATTGCATCTGTTACGATCTTTCCTGCATAGAGTGATAGCAGCTTCTTTGTTTCTCACTCTCTTCTATTGTCCGTGCTTTCACAGGTAATGAGAGAAACTAACACTCAGGTGAAATGGCCATCCAAACTGAAGATAGGAGCCAAATCAAAGAAAGGTGGCAAATTCTTCATGTTCCGTTCACACCAAAATCAGTGCTCTTTGTTTTGTGTTTTTCCCACAGCTTTGTGTGTGTGTGTGTGTGTGTTAACAGAGATTTATCATTTTCCATCTATTGTTTCTAGATCCACACGTAAAGGTGGAAGGGAAGAGAGCTAATGTCCTGGAAGCCAAAAGGAAGATACTAGAAGTGTTGGAAACCAGGGTGAGGTTGCTGGTGCCTTAAATTTACAATGTCAAGAATCCATAGAGGAATGTAAGCTTTTAATAAAAGTAGTTTTATGTTTTTTTTATGTTAAGGCCAGTATTGAACTGAAATCTGCTCAAATAACCAGTGTTTATATAAAACCAGGTAAACAAGGTGACTCTAAAAATGGACGTGGCCTATACGGAGCATTCTCATGTGATTGGAAAAGGCGGAGGGAATATCAAAAAAGTGATGGAGGTCACATCCTGTCATATTCATTTCCCTGACTCCAACCGTCACAATGCTACTGGAGAGAAAAGCAACCAGGTAGGTGGCATTTTAATTCCACTAACTGCTGCCACTATGACAGGAAACTGAAAACCAATTCGTTTACATCTTATTTATTAATTAATTACCAGGTCTCCATCGCTGGGCCCGTAGAAGGCGTAGAGGAAGCCAGGAGGAGGATAAGAGTGAGTTGTCAATGTGTAATTTGAGCAAACTGCACAGAATAGATTTTTATTTGTCTCAACACTCAATATTTTCACTCCTGTCAGACGGAAAGATCAATAGAGTGATTAAGAGGATGGCTGACACAAAAAGGACAGGTATATCTGTCAATGCACTGCCTGTCTTGTCTCTGTCTTTGTTTCTCTCCCACCTCTTCATTATCCCTCCCTTCTGTGTCTCCTTCTCTTCGAACCCTTACCCTTCTTATCCCAGGACCTCCAGCCGCTATCCTTGACCTTTGACTTGCCAGTGAGTCTTGTGCCCCAGGCTCTGCCAGATCCGGGTTCACCACTTATCCAGCAGGTAGTACAGACTCTTGGGGTCAGTGTGAGCTTCAGGGCCATGCCACCCCAGCCTCAAGCCCAGCCACCCTTTTATGGAAGCTGCTGCTCCGTCTGGGGTCTGCAGGGCAATGCAGATGTTGTAAAGGTTAGCATTAAAGATTAAGGAGACTACTGGGTAATGAGGTTTAAGTATCATGTCGTGACTATATATACCATCACCTCACAGAAGGCGACCTGCATCTTGATGGACCTCCTGCTGGGAGCAGAGGTTGCAGGCGGTATTGTCAACAGCCAGCTGGACGTCACCTCCCAGCAGCACCTATTCCTGCTGGGACAGAATGGCGCTCACTTCCTGAGCGTTATGCACCAGACCCAGACCCAGATCATCCTACCGGACCTCAGCGCCCCTCAGAGTCCTCCCTCGCTGCTCATTCAGGGCAGCCCTGATGGGGTTTGTCTGGCTAGGCAGCATCTCATGGTACAGCGGGGCTGTTTATTTTGTGTGCGCATAACTGCTAAAAAACAATGCTGAGAAAACTTTGCTGCTTTTAATGTTTGATACTTTTACAATCTGTGTGATGTTTGCATATTTGTGTACACAATAGGACTGTCTGCCTGTGTGTTTGATGTTTGACATGCGTGAAGATGGGGAGGCCGATCCCTGTAAGCTAGCTCAGATGATGCGAAACCTTGGAGTCTTCATTAGCGTCAAGCCCAAAGTAAAACAGACCAGCAAGGTACATTTTACCTCGTGGCTCTGATGCTTATTGTTTGAGACACAACTGAAAAAAGAATGCTAATTTGATTGGGCTTTGTATTGATAAAAACTTGCCCTGAAATATTTCTTTGATTTTGAATGCAAAATATTCTCCCCTGTAGTTTTCTGCTGAGTTGAGTACTGATCTAAAAATCTGTGTTGGTTTATAATTGTCAGTCAGTTGTGGTGAAAGGTCTGGAAAGGAATATTTCCTGCCTCTATGAGGCCCGCCGTCTACTCCTGGGGCTGGATTCCTCTGAGACTGTTAAGATAGCTGAAATGACCCCTGGCTCTCTGCTACCTGGCAGTGGGCTGACCAATTACTGGCTCAATATGTTGCTGCAGCAGCTTCGCCTGTCTGAACAGGGTGAGAGCATTAACACATATGATTTGTTTTTACAATCAGAATAATTATTTTTAAAATTTTTCTGCTTCATACTGATTCATTCATATCACCCTTCTTCTTGCTGATCAGGCCCCGTGCCTGTTCCTGCTACAGAGATGCCGAACGGCACAAAGCCACGCCCCTCACCTCCACCAGGCCTCACCTCTCCCACTGAGGAGGGTAGGGTAGGGCCGAAGGGAACAGATGGTCGACCTCTGGAGAAGGTGTTTCACTGTTAATGTTCAAAATGACAAAACACAATGTGAAATTCTTCTGAAACTTTCCAATTCTCTTTTTCAGATTCTGGAAAATGAGGACCAGTTTGGTCAGCATGAGAGCTCTGAGTGTGCGGCGATGTCATCGTCTGAGACGTGTGACGCTTTGAAGAGCAGCATCAGCAGGATCGGACTGAATGGTCGGAGGGGGAGCCTTCAGGGTCCTGAAATTGCCAAGGTTTTCAGCCAGGGCAGGCGCCATTCAACAGGGCAGGTGTTAACATACAGGTGAGCGTTTTGCAGGTACACACACCTACTCTCTGATGACTCTTCATAATCTTTAAAGTCTTAACTTCTGGAAAATTCTTTTGTTGTTGTTTATACTTGCTCTACTTTGGTTTCTGTTTGATTTGATATAAATCAGCTCTACAGAGCGTGCAGTTTTAATTTAGCTCACATTTAACACACTCTATATTTAAACTGCACGATGACACTTTGAAAGAACTGCTGCAGCCAGGTTAAAGAAAGAGTTAATAAGAACTCAAAGATTGCACAGAGCCATCACAGTTTCACCTAACCTTGCTTTACCATCTGTGTGTGCGTGCGTGTGTGTGTGTGTGCGCGCGCCCGTGTGTTCCTCCTGACTGTGCCAGACTGCTGAACGCAGACACTGAGGGGGGGAGGAGTGAGCGGAGGAACAGCCTGAGGAGAGATGTGACTCTGGCTCAAAATGTTCGCGCTGACTCATTCAAGGCTGAGGTGAGAAAAACAGGAGCTGCAGGTTTCTTCCTTGCTTGTTTCTTCACGAAGTTATGCACAGAGTCTGTGGCACACATTTTGGTCACGGATGATGCTCAGTGGACAGATAATCACATCTCTGTAGGACAGTGGATGAGCGAACGCTGAAAATGTCACGTTAAACTGAAAACGGGAAGATCATTTTCTTTGTCACGGTCTATAATCTATTGATTTGCGGTTTGATTTTGAAAATTGGGTTCTCTCTTTGTTGGTCTCCCCTCTTATTTTTCTCCCATCTCACATACGCAAAGGTTATGCAAAGAAGGATTAACAAGTTTACTGCCACGGCAGCAGGACGTGTTTTCTTATGCAAGTGTTTGTTCCTGCTGTAAATTAGGTTCCCGCTATCCTCCCATCTCTCAGTAACCAAAGAAAAAAATTCAATTTCATGCATTATTTACCTACTCCATTTCCTGTTTGTACTTTGTAGGATTATGACTATGAAAAGAAGAAACTGCTGGCAACCAGAGGTTAGTCCTCCTAAATGTTTAATATTTCTTCCTGTCTTGCTGCGGTTTCAGAAACGTTCTGCAACAATGATTAGCACTGCTAAGCAAGCGTTCCTTCTTTTTTATTGATTCACAGTTGCTGTTCTGCAGATAGTTGCACGAAAATAGATTTTGGTGAAGTATATTGTTGTTTTGCTCATCAGCACACTTTTTTGTTTTGTTTTCGGAGCTGAACAGGAGCAGGAATAATTTAGTTTTGCTGGCAACAATCACATGTTTTGCTCACATCATTGCTGGAAAAATACTTAATGTCAGTGGATTAAGCCAGATGAAGTAGGCTTTTAAGTTTATTCAAGCATGCTATAGGGGAGACACATTAATATCCCAAGCAGAAGTAGGGATTTGATAAAGGGGTCCCATTTCCGCAGTGCTCACTGCCAAGACAACTGATGAAGGGGGCCTGTTTATGGGCTGCAGTGTGCCAAAGTTATAATAGAGTAGCACTGGCACTCCCACTTAATTCACCAGGGGTAGATACACAATGCAGACAACCCACGCACACATGCATCCAGGAATGGTGCGTGTGCTCTCATACACAAGCGTGCGTGGACACACACGTAGCATCCCTCACGCAGAATGAGAGATACTGAAGAGATCTGCAGCCAAATGGTACCAAATTCCCTCAGTGTTCCTTTATGGGATTATGAATTAGCAGTTTGAATGGGCCATCTGCCTCACAGCCATTAAGACACCCGTATGCCAGGATATGAATGGGACATTTACGCCACAAATACACACAAAGACACCCGAATGAAAACCTACCAGTAATAATCCTGTTGATATTGCACTCTTTATGGAGTACTGTTGCAGTTTTTATCACACATTCACACATGGAAGAGGCCCAGGGTCACTTGTTTGTCGATTGAATGCGTATGCCAGTCTAAGTCTTAGCGCTCAGAGTTTTATTAAGTATGCCACATGCTGGCAAGAGAAGTAACACTGTTCGTGATTCATTATTTAACACATGAACCCAGCCTGCTCACATCAGAGTACCAAAGAAGACGTGGAAAACCTGCAAAGCATTTTTATGATAGACAGACTGCGGATATGAGTATTGATGCTTGCTGCAAAATCCATTTATGTGAATTTAAAGCTGTAAAGCTTTCTGAAAGTGTTTCCTTATTCACTTCTTTTGCCACAGCACTACTACAGTCAGACTTTCCACATTGAACATGCAACGTGCTGCATTTATGTGAAAGCTGGCAATCAGATTTCAGACAACATCACAGACGGTAATGCTTTTGATACCAGTTAGTCCCAAAGTCACATTTTCTAACTCTGTGTTTATGTGTATTTATGTTAGCCATGCAGAGGAAGCCTATAGTCACAGAGGTCCGCACGCCCACAGACACGTGGAGTGGCCTTGGCTTCTCCAAGTCTATGCCAGCCGAGGCTGTAAAAGAGCTTCGCAACATCAGCAGACGCAACTACAAACCCTACCTGAGCACCGGTAATAACCAGCAACAGGTACAGATGAGCCTACTGCTTACTTAAAAGCTGAAAAAATGGTCTCACAGATTAACATTTTGAGTTTTCGTTCAAAGTTATAGGTAGAGTTCATGATTTATAGGTACAGCTACTTTTGTTGGACTGAATTCAGTTGAAGCTTTTACTGCAGTGCAGTGAAACAAGCGCTGCCACAGTGGCCCTCTAACACAGTCTCATTTATTGGTTTTGCCCCCTAACAGTCTCGGGCATTTATCTCACTGTGTGGTAAGCACTGCCAATTTGTACGCTCAATTACCTGGAGTCTGATACCATCGGTGTGGTCAACACAGGCACTCTTTGGCAACCTGTTTACCTGAGCTGGTTCAGCTCATCTCCCCTGCTCTTTTAAAGCCTTTTGAATAGCTGCTCTCTGACTGCCCACTGGCCATTGATGTAGAAGCAGACTCACTTAGGATAATGAAAGCAAGAGGCATTTCTCCAATGAGTTCAATTTTCCTCTGAGACCCAGGCAACTGGGAGGAAGCATTTGCTATGCCCGCTGCATTGATAGATTCGAGTGAAGGACTTTTACTGTCACAGATCAGCCCACAGTGGCAAATAAGCTGGTTTAGAGACACGCTAAATGGATTTGGCTAAATCCTTGGATCTACAGGCATTAGGAAGTTTATGGCCACTTGCAGCTATTTGTCTCTGGGACAGAGACAGGGGAGAGATGACAGTAGGGCATGGTGGCAAAATGACACGATGATGCTATTGTGCAAAACGCTGTCAGAAGAAAGCAACATTAGCCTGTATAAGGGAACTTATTATAGATTCCCATATTTTCAGTTTGGATACAAGAACAGCAGTAACATCCACCTGGTTTTCAAACCTGTCAGACAAAGTGTCAGAGCAATACAAGAAAAAAAAAAAACAGACAGTGGATGAACGGAGGGGATGCACCAAGACCCAGTAAAAGATAAATAAGGAATATCTTTAACCTTGCATCATGCAAAGTTAATAGAGTCCAAGAGCAAAAATAGGTCCCATTTAATGCTGTTACTATCTCCTTCTAGTCTTGGGCTGCTCAGACAGGAAAGGTGGCTAATGGAAGCGACTCTGAGAACTGGAGGGACAGACGTGGATCCACATCTTCATCCCAGCTCATCTCTTCCTCTTCGTCCTCATCCTCATCTTCCCCATCCTCACCTCTGACTACTTTCTCCTCATCATCCTCTTTTCCTGCATTTGCCTCCTCAATGAACCGCAGTAGAAGCGACAAGCCCTGTAAGTCTGACCTCTGTGCACTCAGCTAAACAGAGATCACCTGCTCCCTGCTGCGTTTAACCTTTTCCTCTAAACTTTGGCCTCCGGTGTTCAGCGGAGAGCTTTGCGAGCAATGGCAGCAGCTACTTCGAAAGTGTGTGCTCACAGAGGAGGGGGTCGACCTGCAGTCAGCGGAGCCCCAGCCCCCACTTGACAGATGACCTGCCCGAGCTGCTCGGCCAGCTGGGCCTGCTCAAATACATCGATGTGTTTGAACAGCAAGAGGTAAACTCACACAGAGAGTCGCACTTGATAATTTTTTGAAATCACTTTTTTTTTTCATTCAGCTTGCAAACACAAGCCGAAAGAGTTAATGCATTATAAATGAGCATCATGATGCAACTTCGGTCTACACTCTAGATCGACTATCAGACATTCCTCACTCTGTCTGATGAAGATCTGAAGGAAGTGGGTGTATCTACCTTTGGAGCAAGGCGCAAGATGTTATTAGCAATCTCAGGTGAATCTCTGAAGCCTCAGCCGGGATTTATGCCGTATCCGCTTCTCTCTCTGTTTTGGCAGTATGCTGTGCTCCTCTCCTCTTGTAAAATTGATTATTTTTCCTCTGATACAGAACTGAACAAAAGCAAGAGGAGGCTCTCGGATACACCTGCTGTGAAGTCTGGCTACCTGGAAGGTGGTGCTAGTGGTAGACTTCCACGAATCATGGATGTGGAAGCTGCAGCTCAGAGTAACCGCTGGTGAGGGAAGACGCCAAATATGTGGAGATATTCTAATGGGAAAATATACAACAATGATGATGCCAGTACAAAAGTCTTACTAGCTCATTTACTACAAAGGGAGAGGTGCGAGATTATCCTGAGAAACTACAAAAATTATGTAAAACATTTAAACAGGGTGCCTTTCTTCTACAGCGTAACCCAAAGTTTTTTTTATATAATAATTCAAAACAAGGAGGCTTTCCATCCAAAACTCAGTTATGGCAAGAAACGAACTACACAAAGCACACAGGAACAGGAGAAAATGTTGATTTTTTTTTTTTGTCATAAAGTGCCTTTCTTATGCAAACTCTATATTTTGATCATATTAACCACAATCTTTATGCAACTGTAACATTTACCCAAGAAAAAAAACATGTCATAGTGATGATAATTAAAAGGTTGCTGTAAAAGACTGTTTTCTTTTATGAGAGTGAAAAAATAGTGAATGATATATTTAAAAAAAATAACACAACACGTCTATGACCGGACTCAGTTATGTGTTCAACACCTTAAATTGATAACCTCCTATGTCATCAGTGGAAATGTGTGAGGCAAGTAAAAACTGGGAGCAAACCACAAGAGGGCACTAGTGTCACACACAGTCTTCTTTTTACAAATTCACGTCACATTTGTGCTGCATGGAAAATAATGTCATTTGTTTCAAAGTGACAGCAGCATCACAGCTCCTGCTGGACAAGGTGGGGTTTGGTTTTGAATTATACAGGGCCTAGTATCAGATAAGACAAATGATTTAGAAACCATAAATACATTCATTTGTTTGAGGGTAATATGAAACTCCTATTATAGTGGTTTGCATCTTCTGACTTCTCGACAAAGAGTTTCAATTTGTTTTATCGCTACTCCCTGGAATGAAGCCAGTGCAGCCACTTTTTGCTACCTGTTAATATTATCTGCAGAAGGCTGCATGCAGCAAAATACGTGCCATCAGGGAGAGGGCGCTGACAGAAATGTGCAAATTTGGAATAGCAGTGCTGCTTATCACATGGAATTGAATGGGCCAAGATAGCTCCACTGGAGGGCATGAAGGGGTCTGATCTGTCTCGAGGCTCGACAAGCTGGTTGGTACAGTGGCAGCCAAGCATGAAAGAGAGCGTGAGTGCGAGTGGTGGGCTGTGACAGATTAGGGGGAGATGATCCCTACTTATTACAATGTGTCTGCCAATTACATAGGCAGGCTTTAGACTGGTGATCCTCAAATCTGGTCCTTAGGCTCTGGAGGGATGCTGAATTTCTGTCCTGTCAGGTAGTTATTTGCAGTCCCCTGGGGTTGTGAGCGTGAATTGGTCCTTGATCACACAGCTAGAATGAAAACAACCTGGAAAAAAATGAGCAGTGCTCTCATTCCTGAGGACTTTGGAGATCCACTTTGACTTTTAACATGTAAAGTGGCAATCTTGACTTATGGCCCAGTTAAATATGTAAAATGAAGGTATGAGTGACTCCAATAGCAGCTTGCCCACTTTAGAGAAGTCTGGTTTAGTACTGGACTTAGCTTGTCGATATTAATAACTTGTAGTATACCCTGCAGCTTTTAAATGGAAGCCAATGGATTTAACTGACGTGTATGTAGGGAACCTGATATCAACAAACAATCTAATTATTTCAGTATGAATGCATTCAAACATCACCACATCTTCATAAGCATCTCATCAATGAAACTACATGCATGGTGCTACATACAATCAGCTTCCTGTCATATTTCCCCCAGTGGGAAACTCCAAAACTGTGCAAATGACCTTTAAAACTACCAGTCTTTATTGTTACCAACACATAGTACATGGCAAAAGATGGTGACTTATTAACCTGTGCTCGAGCCATGATGACAGCTTCATCTGTTTTCTTCACAGCCATTAGATAAAGACAGAATGTAGGAATGCATCTGTGCCGCACTAGTGAGTTTCATAAAGTGGAGCAAATCCACATGTAGGACATTGTCTCCAAATGTGGGATGAGGGAAGAAAAATGCTGTGTAGTCCTACATAAATGATGACCCCTTGTCACTGTGGATCAGTCACATGGCCATTTACTGAATACATCTTGTGTGAATGTATGTATACGGGAAGCAGTTTTGGAAAATATGCTTTGTTACATTTTTGCCAAGTGTTAAATAACAATCTTTCAACTTCAATGTGAATCTCCATGCAAGCATCTTAATAAAAATTCACTAACAGAAAAACTACATGAAGAAACAAAGTATAGGTATAACATAAGGTTTTATGTGTTGGACAAGATCCTGACTAAAAGAAATTCCTTTTTTTGCTTTAACTCTTTAACTCCACCCAGGAGCTCGATTTCCATACGATAACTGCAGCCAACTGCATAAAGCCCCACTTGTGGCCATCACCGGTCTCTATGGAGATGCTGGGTGGATACGAGGATCCACCCAACAGGAAAAGTCATTTGGGGATAATAAAGAAGCAGCCAATAGAGAAACGAAACAGAGCAGTGAAGTGCCCTGAGGATAGAATGCAACCAAGCTTTCCCTTTTCTGAGATGAAGACAGAGCTCACTACAAGAGGAGTGAGTTTCAGTGGGAAAGCAGAAGAAAACAGAAACAATAATGAGACAGCGTGTGAGTGGCTGAATGTGAGCCGTGGTGTGCAGTACACCACGTTAGCTGAAGTTCCTAAACAACCTTCCGTGTGTTCAAAATATCCATCATAGTCCTGAACCCAGTGATACTTTGTCTGATTACTCCTTTTAGTAAAATGGCATCTGCACGAGTTGGAGTTCTGTTGCAGGTGGCTGGACGAACCCATGCTGTGACAAAAATTTCATAACAAAGATACCGAGATGTCTTCAAGCAAAAGCACAGAGTGAGAGGAAAGATGAAGAAAACAAGCCGATTTCACCTTAATTCTGAATAAACAAACCATTTCCTCCTTAAACATCACTCTGAATAACAGAAATTAAACACTTTATGTAACGGCTCTAAAGAGGAAGAGATGTTTTTCTGAAACTGCAAGGTCTTTCTCCTGAAGACAGACAAGCATGGCCTTGGTGCCACAGATGCTTAAGTAGATGCTTATGACTACTTATGACTATATTTAAAGGTTTTCTTGGAGACCTTACCAAGGAGAGGAATCCCTGCATACAGGCAAGCTGTTTTGCATTTTATGTGAAAAAAATTAGCTATTATAATGCTATTTATTTGTAATAGGAATTTGAGCAAAATGTATTTTCGTTTTCTTTATGATTTGATAGACTGTGTTATCACTAGGGCGATCATGGCTCAAGAGTTGGGAGTTCGCCTTGTAATCGGAAGGTTGCTGGTTCGAGCCCTGGCTTGGACAGCCCAGTCGTTATGTCCTTGGGCAAGACACTCCACCTACCGCCTACTGGCCGATGGCGCGATATGGCAGACTCGCTTCTGTCAGTCTGCCCTGCCCTGTTGTAGCAGGTGGTTCGTCCAGCCACCTGCTACAACTGTAGCTTGCCACCACCAGTGTGTGAATGGGTGGATGACTGGGTGTGTAAAGTGCTTTGGGGTCCCTAGGGGGATCTAGTAAAAAGCGCTATACAAATACAGACCATTTACCACTAATTATTATTAAGGATCCAGTGAAAGGAATAGCTGAGAGCCATATAGCACTGCAACTGGGAATATAGGCGGATACAGTAAAAACACAAGAAGCAGACATTTTCTTTCCAACTTTTCTCATGTAGCCTGATGACAGCAGAAGACGCACGAGCCAGGGTCCCAGAATCGGGTGATTATACACCCTCCACAGCTTCCAGCATAATTTGATGCACATAGTTAAGCCCATTGTCTATTCTGTGTGACAGAGAGTCCTGTGAACTGCTGAATAGGCTTTTTCGAGCCAGAAGATTCAGTTGTCCTTTTAGCTTCTGATTGTTGCTACAATGTGTTTTCAAAGTGCTGTGCAGGCTGTTTCAAGCCAGTGGGGTCAGCTGTCCCATTAGCCACTGATATTACAAAAACACTCATTAAGCTTTTATGTTCTTATGGGCACCGCTAGCTTTGTGATTCTCCTCTCTCAAAGGCAAGTGATAAGAGTATTTTCTGCAGCTACCATTTATGTCTGCTTCTAACAGGGACGACGCTTTCTCAAGGTTGGAAAAGGTCAGTATTGATGGAGGGCTTTGATTGTAATACTGCAGCGAAATCCGGGCTTTGGAAAAAAATAAAAAATCTTATGCAAATGTGTTTGTGGTTTCAAAGCGAGGCAAGAGATGTGTTTTTATTCATCACTTTTTTTTTTATCACGATTTTTTGAAATAAGATGAAACACATGACGCCCTGCCTAAAAAGTTTCATCACGGGGGAGCAAGAGACACATGGACGCAGACCTGTAAGGTTCAAAAGACACCCAAAGTGCCACTTTACTTAAATTCTCAAAGTTACAAATAAAAGTTCACGTAGTTGACATGGTGAAGATTTCAATTTCAAATCACTGAACATATCCAACGCTTTGACGCACAACTGAGCCTCTTCTTCTGCATGACTTCATGTGTCCTCCCAGCTCAGGAGCAGCTTAGTGTCCATGCGCAGTCAAAAATCCTCAGCAGCCCTATTGACCAATTAGTAGAAGAATAGCTGGCTGAGAACCAACCAATTTGGACTGTAGGTTTTGCAGTTTGCTTTTCTTAACTGCTATCACACTTTGCAATGCAACTTCCTACCTCCTGAGATTGGGAGAAGAACCAAAAAGACACTAGACAGCATCAACATAGCAACAAAGTATTGTAGCAGCCAAATAGGCATCACTTTCTGTTTGAGATGCATAGAGCTAGACCTGGCCAGGTAAATATCTCTTTTATAGAAACACGATGAGAAACATGCAACAACAACGACAATACATCATTAATCTCATTGTTTCCTGGGCTTCCTGGAACATTCAAGATCAACAAATATTTTACAATCCTCCTTAAAACAACAGAGAGAGAGTGAGAGAGAGAGGGAGAAGGAGCATCTCAGAGCCTTAAACTGTGGCAGCAATTTGCAGAAACATCATTGAACACCAGAAGGAGCCCGACGGTGGAACACACAATATGAAAATGAGCCGCTGATGGAGCAACAGGGAAGGTAGTCCATAGCCTGGCCTCCCTTAAGGAAACATATTTACATCCAATACATCAGCTAACATATCTGGGCTCATAGACTGACCAGAGATTCTGACATGGACATACAATGATAGGAGAAAGGGAGAACGACTGAAAGAAGATGGAACGAGTGACAGAGATAATAGAGTCCCTGTTAGAAGGTGTTTACGATCACAGGTTTGGGGGAACGTGGAGGCAGAAAGTGGACAGCTCGAGCAGAATTCTAAAAGGGGCTTGACAGTTGTTGAAATCTAATAGTCTCTCTATTTTCTGTCTGAGGACAGAGTGAAACGCTTGAAAATGAAGAGGTCAGATGAGGTTCACTGAAGAGAGAGATTTGGATGAGAGACAGAGATTGCAGTAGCAGGTTGAGGGGCCAGGAGATGGACTGCTGCCAAGGTAACTGGAGGAAGAGACATTGGAATGGCTTTAGATCTGTGCTGAGTTAACGGAGTTTCCTGGTCAGCTGATGGCAAAGGAAAATGGAGCGGAGCTACCAAACGTAGCCGATTTCGTCATCCTTGTCCTCTTCCTCGTCCTCGTCGTCCTCGATGGTCCCTCGGGGATGGATGCGGCCCCGTCTCTTCTTCTGCCGGCTCCGACCGGTCTGTGATGGCTCCTCTTCTTGATCGTCGAGGAGTATGACCGCACCGCCGCTGCCAAAATCCCCCGATGTCTCCTGATCCTCATCTGTAGAGAGAGAAAAACATAATAAAGAGATTACACAGATATCCCCAGATTAACATTAATTATGATATATTAATGATTTCCCAGATTATAAATTCTTTGCCAGTGGGCTCCCTGAAACTTGAAAGCCTACTGGAAGTAACCCTTCCAGCACTTTTCTGAACTGACAGGTTTCTGTCATATTTAAGGCCTGCTTATATAACAAAATTAGTGGGTTTGCTTCGGCAGTTAGCAAGGGTGGTCTACGCTTCTGCAGCTACCTTTGGAAAAACCCGGAAACTATGCTAATAGTCATCAAACCACATCTTTATTGATATATACAGAGGTGTCAAGACTTTCATTAGAGGGCACAGGAGGTCATGATGCAAAACAAAACATTCAGTGTAACACTTCACCCCCAAAGACCTTCAGAACTAATTCCACTCTCATTAGCTCCAGCCTTATTTTGTTTTGCACTAATTGCTAATGTTAGCAATTAGCCTGGGTGTAAACTCTTGAAATAGGGCACAGAATCAGAGTAGGCCATCATGAGCTAACTCTTTCCCTAACCAATACATTCTTTTCAGGGGAGCAAATAATCTACTAGAAAAAATAAATGAAAAAACAACAACTTTTGCTTTCTGTTGATTTACCCAACAAACAACATGCGGCTACAGGGAGCTGATTATACTGGATGGTTTTAGTGGTGTTTGGTTAATGGGAGGCTAATGCTGAATCCAGTGGAGCTACAGTGTGAACAGGAGTCATTATCAGATTCTGCCTCGAGCATTTTTTGAAGCTCGAACTTCAAATTAGTCTGTGTTCAAAACAGCCTATTTACACCTGGGTACAACTGCGCTGTGGTTGAGTGGCACTTACGCTGTTAAAATCAGTTTGGTGTCCTTGTGTTCAGGCTATTGAGTGGAGAGCTGCTGCATTGCTACCTGTTTGTTCTACGCAGGCCAGAATGGGAGAACTCCAGGCAACCCCTGCCTCAGGCCACTCAGCCAGAGTTAGATGAGCTTGTTAGGACTGGTGTTGTCTACGCGTGTGCATGTGTGCATGGAGGCTGGACGGACATCAATACTGGAACCTGCATTTACTGGTTTTCGACTAGACTGGCATCCGTGCGAGGTGCAATCTGCCAGTGAGTTGGCTGTTTGATTGGTAATTAGTATGTCTGCCTGGATTCTTTCCTCCTAATTATTGTTCTTTTTTCCACAGTGCAATTGATTTGTAGCAAAGTGCTTTTATTGGCTTTTTGACCATTTCATTTGAATTTCCATGGCTGACTTGTTAGCTATCACTATAACATGTCAAAAAACTTAATCTTGTATATTCTTTGTCAAAATATAATGCAGTAGGCAGTAGTTTATTTGTTTATTCTCCCCTGTGAGGTACGCCTCAGCACTGCTTCAAATTCATATTCATAACAGATCTTTTGACATTGCTCCCTGCTGACAAGTGTGACAAATTTTCTGTCTTGACTTGCAAGATGCTGGTGTTTTATCAGAGGTACACGAGCAGGATATCAGAGGCAGATAGAATCAGGCATATTAGAAACAGCTGAATTGGCTCCAGAGGCATGCCTAATGTTA